TGCTGGCTTGTGATTGCTTTTTCTAATTCCCTTGTGACCTTTTCTTCTTGGATAAAGGTATCTTTTATATTCCTATTTCTCTTAATCTTTTTGATGTTCCTCATGTCTAATTTGCCAAACACACCAACACAGGAACAGGTGGGTGGACATCACCACTCAGTGGTTAGTGGAAATAAATGATGTTGTTTCTTGAGACCTAAGGAATAGGTATAGATATAATAAACAATTGTGTAAAGGAAGCTAGGAGGAGCAAGGGATGGGGGAGGAGTAATGCAAACTTTTGTTGTATATCATTGAACTATTTGCCAACCAAATTCTATTATCCAAAATATTAATAACTATAAATACATGAAATATTGGTTAAATACGTTCATTAAAATGAACAATGGAAAAACTCAATCTAGAGAAAATATGGTAAACTATAGATATAAATGGTAACATTGGTATAGTAAACAAAATAAATAATAAGGTTACACAGGTAGAATAAATGAGATGGAGTATATTCCAAGTTTCAGGCAGTACCTTAATTGCACCCATCCGTTCCAAGAAAAATAATACAACGATACACACATTAAACTGCAAATAAAAATTAACTTTTATACAGCATATATAAAAGTTATGATTATGGAGAGTGTCATTGTTTCCCAACATAAGTAAACAGGAGAATTTGCTGTCACATTACTACTAATCATATCCTGTGACTTGCAATCTAAAGAGTAAGAGCAATGTTGGGTATAACCTAACACATTCCTCCTAGGAAAAACAACCCCCAACGTGCAATGAAAAGCACATAAGAAGCAGCAACAAACAAGAAATTACGGCAGTCATTGGAAGTACCCATATGGCTAAACCTTAACTGTCCATTGTCCAAGAAGACATAGAGATATACATCACCAATATCTCCTTAGTGACATCTGGTGGTACATCCAATAAGTGCATATGTTGTAACATCCATTATACTATGTTCAAACTCAGTATTCTTTCTTATATTGTTTGTAAGGCATATATTGTTACAACAGCAACATAGTTCTCTTTCAATCTGTTGATACACTCACCCTATACAAAAGAGGTAAAACATCTAACAGCAAGGGTCAATCAGTGGCCTACATTACCTAGTGGCCCAAACCAATCATGCATTGTTATTAAAAAAAAAAAAAATGATTTATGGAAGCAGGCCATGATAATTTAAGCATTGCCTCAAAAGATTCATTATCATGCCAGCCAACATTTCCTGCTCATATTCCAGGATGGAGGTGAGCAGGGGAAAGAGCAGATGTGTAAGGGCTTATCAGGAGAAGTGGGACAACATCACTGTTTTGCAAGTCAAAAGTAAGTCAAAAGTAAGTCTTGAGTCTACGTATTAAAGTCCAGAGTCAAGACAGGCAAGTCTCAAGTCAAGACAGTCAATTCTAGGTCAAGTCCTCAGCTTTAAAGGAACACTGTAGGGTCAGAAATACAAACATGTATTTCTCACCTTATAGTGATAACAAATACAATTTAGCCCCTCAGCCCCAAGCCCCTTGCACTCCTTAAATAGGATAAAAACTCACCTTTACTCCACCACCGCATGGGTCTTCCAGTGCTGGCTCCGCTCCAGATCCACCTCCTTGGCTGAGATCATCAAAACTGACGATCTCAGCCAATCCAATGCTTTCCCAAAGGATGAGATGAGATAATCAATTCTGAGCATCTTAGCCAGGGGGTGCAAGGGGGAGGGGTCAATTAGCATCTCCTCATAGAGATGCATTGAATTAATGCACCTATATGGGGAAAGCTCAGCATCTCTGTGCAAAGCATGGGGACTGCTGAACGTCAGTGCTGCACCTTAGTGGCTGTCTGAAGATGTCACTAGGAAATAATGTAAACACTGCCTTTTCTCTGAAAAGGCATGGTTAACATTAAAATGCCTGCAGGGACTGACTATACTCACCAGAACTACTAATTTAATCTGTAGTTGTTCTAGTGACTACACTGTAGTGTCACTTTAAGCTTCAAGTGTTCAACAAGTCATTAGTGCTCTTTGCATAATTTAGTTTCAGAGTAAAAATTACCCAGGAAGGTGTTTAAAATATGTTCATCATTTTACAGTTCAATTTCATATGAAATTCTAAATTTTAAATTATGACATACACTTAGTAAGGACAAACAGTGAAAAAATAATATTTACTGGTAAATGAGAGTAACAGAATTAATATAGAAATAACACAACTGCAGTGCCAAGTACTCAAGAACCCAAGAAATGTAAAAATACTGTGCTGTCATACTTTGAGAGAAAGTCAATGTGAGTGAGGAAAGGAATGTATGAATTAGTAAGAGTGACTGTTCTTTTCTTGGACCCTATTGTGCATTGCAATTGTGAAAGATTAAATTAGCCAAAAGTCCAACAGACATTTGTGCATAACGGGACAGTAGAATGATGCCTCCACGGCTGAAAAAAATGCTCTACTGGAGCACTAGAACCAGGCACTCTAAATAGTGTGGGAAAACAGACAGCTGACGTGCTGGTATGTTCCCTGTGTCCTTTTTTGATCTCTAGAGATATACTGCAAACAGTCCCACCTCATGTTCAGGCTGTTGACCCTCTTTCTTTTCAACCTCAAAAAAAGAAGCAACCAATACATCCTCAAAAGCATTCTGCGAGATCAATTCTAGCAGAGAGCAAGCACAGCAGAAAGTAACAGACATATAATATTATTACATCTAAAGATGCAGTTAGTTAAACTAAATTTTTTTAGTTTCAATCATTTAAAGTGTGCCATTACAGGAAAAAATGTGACAATATTTACCCTTCAATTTTTGTGCAATCACTACCTTGCCTTCAGAGATGACCAGCATGTTATGCTCTATCCACTAAAAAAATCGGGATCCATCAGCTGCTTTTAGGTAGACTGGGACTGAAAAAAGTGCAGTGGTTCCATCTGTTGTGCTTGCCATTTTAACATTGACAAAGATTCCAACTAATCTTTTGGCCAGGGATGACTGCAGAAGACCAGTCTACTTAAGAAACAGAACTGAGACTTCAGCTTCTCCAAGTGGTGATTCAGAGCATATTTTTAACAACAGAGCTGATTGTCGCTATTTTCTGCAAACATGTTGCCTCTGCAAATGGCTTCAGGATGTCCTCAAACTTCTTCAATTGATATCACTTCCTTGATGTGAACTACAGGTTGTTATGTCTAGACTCTTCCAGGACACTAGAGACGTTTTGAGGACCTTTTGATGATCACATTCAATTACTGTCCGTACCAGTCACAGAAAAGAAGTGAGTTTGATGTATATATATATATATATATAAATTTTAAATTGAAGTTGATGGGGCACTAGATCCCAATCCTTCAAATAAAGCCTTTCTTTACAGATGGCACAGTCTAACACACTCTGAAAGTAGACAGTGAAATAAAACATCAATACAATAGAAATAAAAATATCTAGATATGTTGTGGATTTGGGATTTTTTTGTTTTACTTTTGCAAAAGCACATGTGGCATATTATGGAGTTGAGTGAGATGTTTACCTTTGGTGCAGTGACTGTGGGCAGGGGGTCAACAGAACCAGAACCATCCCAGTAAATCTGTATATTTTTTTGTATGTTCAGTGAATTCCAGTCACAGCACATGAAGGGCCTGATTCTTTAAGCCCCTGCTAAACAAAGCCTCAGCATATAAATGATGGCAATTAAACATATTTCAAATTATACAACACTATTGAGGTGGCTTGCTTCATAAATCCTTCCAGCATACCCTTCCTGGTGTTATATATATCACACCTCATTGTATTCTTTACCTTACCTGACTCCACACTGCTAACCTTTAATGCAACAGAAGAACAAGAAAACAAATGCTGACAAAAGAGTAAAATCACGGCGACCTCTTTGGTATGAGTATTGCACTGAACACAATATTATTAATCACACACGAGATCATTAATAAGAACAGGTTTATTTTAAAACAAGATGATGAAATTGCTGAGTTTGTAAAGAATAAACCGAAATTAATTTTTAGAGGGACAAAAAATGTTAAACAAATATTAACAAAACGTTTTCTTGATAAAGAAAAATGTTTTACCAATTTTTCTATTGTATTATAGTGTTTTTTTTTATTGTAGTGGGAGTTGCATTGTATGTAAATTAAACACCAATAAGTAGAGAAGCACTGAAAAGTTTAAATCATTTAAAACACAAAGGGAATACCAAATTAAGACTTGCATCACATGTAATGCGAAAAATACTAACATGCCTATGTGGATACCAATATGTGGAAAAAACCTCAAGAATATTGAAAATAAATATCAGGGAACATATTGGTAATATCAGGTGAATATTTTTAAACCAGAATGCGTCTAAACAATTTTCTGAACATCCCAATAGAGACAGGAGTGGACTAATGTTCTTTGGTATTGAACAAGTTACTACCCACTGGGGAGGAGGGAATACATGTGTTAATTTAAGTAAAAGTGAAATTAAATCAATGTTTAATTTGGACACTATAACACCAAATGGTCAAACACCACTTATATAATGTTTATTTCTATTTTAAAAATTACTATTCTTGATTATTTGGTATACATTTTAAATTATATACCTGGATTCAAGATTTTGATTTTAAATCGTGTTTTATCTTTTCTCCCATTTCATACTCTGCCTCCACCCTCTTTTTAAAATTATTTTAGGATATGGAGTAGGAATTTTAAATATTAAAACAATTGTATTTTTAACTAGTTAATGTTTCTATTTTAAATAGGATCCCTTTTCCTATTTAACTTTGACTTATTTTTTTTATTAATTCTTTATTTTATTGTGCTCATAAAATACATAATAGCAGGCAATGCCACAACAGCATGTACCAACCGAGATGTCAACATTTCAAAACAATATTGGGCATTAGTGTACATTGCACATTTTTATGGTTTAGGTTGCAAGTTTATAAACAAAAACAGTATACATCGCTTGTACCCCACGTGAGTGAGTTAATTAAGTGTAAGTCTAAATTTGTGTTAGTCAGGTGGGGGGGTCCCCCTAGCCCGAGAGCTGTGTATGCGTGTTTGAGGTTGGACTCAACCCATGACTGGTAAAGAAAGACCGGGGAGGGGGGTGGGGGGGAGAAAGGCTACTCCGCCATGGCTGTGAGCAGATTGGTATAGCCTCGTTGTAGTTGTGTCGTGATAGCCTATCTGTGTGTGAACTTGTCGAGTTCTTCTGTGCGGGCGGCCTATTTGTGTGTGACTAGTTCCGTCAGCTGTCTCATGTGTGTGTGGAGCAGCTCTATGTCGTTAAGCACGGATTGCATGTGAGTATGAGTAAAAAAGACAAAAAAGAATTGTAACTGTCAACGAAAATAAAACTTTAAAAAAGTAACTGATAGACCTTCTAGTAGCGGTCTCAAACTATGTGAGGAACGTTCTTGGCGGAATTATAGTGACCCCATAGCTTGGGCTATCCTTAATGCCTCAGGTGGGGTGTCTATTTGGCAATGCCTTCTGGGTCTCCCTCGGGGTGAACTCCCGTACATTCGCCAGGTCGAGCTGGGACAGTCCTGTGCCTTTCGTTGGCGCTGCTGGAATTATGCCCATGGTCGTGAGGAGTGACTCTAGTTCCTGGAAGGTCTGTGCCTTGTGAGTTATCCCGTTATGGGTGAAGAATACTGCTCGCGGTGTTCCCCATCGGTAGGGCATCTCTTTGGCTCGGAGGTGCTGCAGGAGGGGTTGCATTGATTTCCTCCAGGAAAGGGTGCTCTTGGTAATATCTGGGAAGATTATTAGAGTTGTGCCCTCAAACGGCAAAGGTGTCTTGTTACGTAGTGCAGCTAGGAGTGTAGCTTTGTCCGACAGGGATTGGAAGCGCAGTATGAGGTCTGTAGGTGCGGCAGCTGGAGCTCTTGCCGGCTTTGGTAGTCGGAACATCCCGTCTAGTCTCAGGGATTTCATTTGTTTAGGTGGGATTAGGGCTCCCAGGAACCGCCTAATGTAGTGGGGCAACTCAGAGAGGCCAACTGAGTCGGGTATTCCTCGGATTTTTAAGTTGTACCTCCTCCGCTGATCTTCTAAGGCATCTAGCCGTTCCGTGGTGGCGGTCTGCTGCTTCGACAGATCTGCCATTTGTTGTTCCACTTTGGCTATTCTGGAGTCCTGTGTACTCGAGCAGGCCTCCAGCCGCGAGATTTTGGACTGGGCTCCTTCTATGGCCTCTCTGTAGTAGGCCATGTCCGCCGCCAGGTCCCTGCGCAGATCAGCCAGCATTTTCTTTAACTGATCCGCTGTGACTGGTTCCCCAGGCGCTTTAGGTGTATTGTAGTGGTCTGGTGTGGGACCGAAGCTCGTTCCCTCCGTGAGGTCTGTATCAAGCTCCTCCGAGGAATATGAGGCAAGGTCATCCGCCATTTTGGACCACACGGCCTGTTGTGTGTTCCTCAGCATGTCGCCGATGTCTCTGCCGTGAGTGCCTTTCTCAGCTTTTGCCTTTTTAGATTTTCGGCCCATGGTCTGCAGTGAGGCTTAGGAAGCTGTGTGGGTTCTTTTGGATCTGGTTCCGCCGTGAAAAGGGTACTTTTATGTCGCGTTTGAGTCGGAGTTCACAAAAGCGTGGCCGCTCCGATGCGCTGCTAGCTCCGCCCCCCAAATTTGACTTATTTTTATTTATAGGTAAGGTATGATTTTTACTTACGTTTGATTTTTATGTTTTTATATTATTTTTTCCACCATCAATATATATTATACAGTTCTTTTCCATTTTTTTTTTAAATAAAGAAAACTATTTAAATGTAAAGGAATATAAACTTTCCTAAAGACAGTAATTTATATGCATTTTTATTTTGCAACGAATATGAACTTTAGTAGGCATCATGAAAGGATAATATGTTATGAGATAATGTTCTAAAGACTAATTTCACGATTGCCTACAATAAAACTGACATTCACCAGAAGGAAGATGGTGCCCGGATCTGGAGTATGCTATGATGGAATGATCTTAGCGTGATGATGCCAGAATTAAAGAACTAGGCGGAAACTAAATTGTAGGGACAGAAAAGCGTGCAAAAGCAGAGTTTTTGTGAGCCAAAGCTGCATTTAAAACAGGGAATGGTGAGGATGTTTAATATGGCCTTTAAACATACTTTTACAAATTGCTTTGGACTTTTTATTATTAATTTATGTTCTGTTAGATTTTAACAAATTTTGTTTGGATTTTATTTGTTTTAACTCAATGAAGTTGGTACCTTTTGGATTGCTGCTATTTGTTCTTCATGCAATATCTGAGGAGAGTTTATGAGTGTACAAATTGGGAAAAAGATCTAAGAAACCAACAAGGATATCTAACAGGAGCCTTGAAAGTCTGAGCCAACTATATATGGCTCAGAAATATGTGAGTTGAACATTCACAGGAATATATGTGTATATTTATTTAACTTTACATACTACACTATGGTCTGTGTATCCTTGCAATTTTTATTTTATTACAATAGTATTAAAGTCAATACAGACTAATTTGAACAAGGAGTAGACTTAAATTAACTTTCCAGTCAAAATTTAAATGTACATAGGTGAATTACGTCTTTGAATAGAATTATATTTGTAATAATCATATATTGGCTGTTTCAAACGTGTATTTTTAAATATGTCCTGTACACCAGCATTTTAAACACAATACTTTCTAAAAGAGACCCTACGGTGTTTGTATTATCTGGTAATGACTCAATTTGTTAATTACTGGCATGACATATTATTATATGTTATAGTTTGGCCAAAAATAAGTATATAAAAAAAAAATTCAAAAGAAAAATGTCAGATATTTTAGGGTCCAGCCTAGATTGATCAAAATGCTCACCTTTGGTTTTAGAATATATAAAGACTTTCCAAGTCACAGGTGTGACGAAGTGCCCTTCGCCACTTGGTCCTGGAGAGGCCTACTTGCCAGCCTCCTCCCCTGTGACTATGACTCTTTCATGTATCTGGCTTTAAAGCCCCTAGTCTACCTTCAGACAGACTATTTATGTAGGCTGCTTTATTTATCTTATGTTTTAGTCACCCTGTGCCCATTATAGGTGCAGGGTGTGTGTAATGTAATTGTTTATAGTGTGTGTGTGTGTACTGTGTAATGTATTGCCTGCTCTCTTGTATTGCTGAGGTTTGCTACCAACTAGGTGGGTTTGGCTATGGAGCTTGTCTAGTGCCCTCTGTTGGTAGCAACAGCAATATGCACTACCTGAATTGCAAGACTGGTTCATTTGCATATTCGGGTAGATTTGCATATTGTTAATTCTGCAGGCAGGTGAGATATTTACTGTTAAATATTGTCTCCCCCCACCCCTTTAAAATGTGCCATTGTGTTGTGATAAGTCACTGTGTGTTTCTTGATATGGTTTGACTGTTTGTGATTTTATTGAGGTTTCACAACAATGTTATTGTGGTGACTGTATTGGTTGGTCCCAAGGGAATAAAGGTTTTGACAGTTCTTCTTGATCCCTCTAAACGTAGCCTTGTCTCGTTATTGGAGGGAGCTGTTATAATCACACTGGGGATTGCTATGCTCTGCATGCTCCCCTGAGCTTGAGTCACTTAACTCTTTTAAGAGCTTGTTCCCGACACGCTCTCCTTGGAGGAGGGGTCTTCACCACACAGTCCTGGATGCTGGAGGTTCGTACAGGGTGGAAGGAAGAGTTCTTTCCCACATAGTCCTGGAGGACAGAAGCTGATCCAGGGTGGAAGGAAGACGGCGAGACTCCAGTCAAGATACGGCGGTTGAGGAGTCTGCAGTGGTTGTGGTGTCTGCTGCAGCGCTTGGAGTCCTCAGGAAGCGCTAGGAGCATCCGTCAACGGAGGGTACTCAGTCGGAGTACAAGGAGCTCCGTTACAACAGGGCTCAAGTCCAAGTCAAGTCTTGACTCATTGCTGTCTAAGTCTAAATCAGGTCACAAGTCTTCTTTGATTATTGTTGAATATTCTTTGATTATGTTCAGTCTAGTCGCAAATAATAAATATGTGACTTAAGTCCAAGTCAAGTCTGAGTCATGCAACTCAAGTCCATATCCCTGCTTATCAGATGTCAAAGAGGTCTGGTTGTCTGTCAAAGTGGGTACGTCCAGATGAGAAAGGGGGCATGTATCAAATGAGTGGGCCTCTAAAGAGGGTGGCTATGCTGACTAACAGTCTGTCTTCTCCAAATGACCATGCTGCAGAAGTGCCCTGTACATGTTCCTAGTGCCCAGTCACTCCAACATTATGAAATCTGAAATTGGGACAGGTTCCCGGTACCTTGATTTTCTAAAACAGTACCCCAAAATGCGTGACTATTCCAGCAAACCAGGGACTGTTGGCACTTATGCATTATGCTGCAATCTGTTATTAAACCAAGGCATGAAAATCTTAACCATGATCACAGCAGACAGATTACACTAATTTCTGCCACATCTCATTCACAAACAGCAATTATGCATTGTGAAGGATCATTTGTTCAATGGAAGAACCGCCATAGCCACAGTTTTGGTATCATCCAATGAATCTGCTATGCTTCATAATCTTGGTATTCAGAAGGTATTTTATATGCCATCAACTGTTCAGGATATTAACATTCAGATTTCTAGGCATTCAATTTTTACCCCTGATCTGTATAATACACCTTCCACGTCTATCTATTTTTAATGGATTAAATCTGTGAAGAATTGTCATAGAGAGTCTGCCGTATTGACCTGAATTCAATCATCTGTACTTTGCTTATGAGTTGTACCTGTTACAAACATTTAACTTTTTAGTGCAACCTCAGTCATAACCATACAATTAAAATCACTGTATTTGCTGATGACATTTTAAACATCTCAAATCCAGTGCTATCCCTTCAAGTTGTCCTGCAGGCATTGAAAATATACAATGTCCATGTCTCTGGACTCGTGGTCTTAGTCTTCATATCCAGCAACATCCACAGCTATCTATTTCTTGAATATCACTTACTATATATAACATGTATAAACCTGAGCACACCATGGAAGGGGGACATGGGTCATGTCTTTTAAAATCAAGTGTATTCCCAAAATTACTTGATGGTCTTTACGGTAAGGTATGTCTTTTTGCTGATGATACTAAGATATGTAACAGGGTTGCTGTTCCAGGAGGGATAAGCCAAATGGCAAATGATTTAGGTAAACTAGAAAAATGGTCAGAATTGTGGCAACTGACATTTAATGTGGATAAGTGCAAGATAATGCACCCTGGACGTAAAAACCCAAGGGCAGAGTACAGAATATTTGATTGAGTCCTAACCTCAACATATGAGGAAAGGGATTTAGGGGTGATTATTTCTGATTACTTAAAGGTAGGCAGACAATGTAATAGAGCAGCAGGAAATGCTAGCAGAATGCTTGGTTGTATAGGGAGAGGTATTAGCAGTAGAAAGAGGGAAGTGCTCATGCCATTGTACAGAACACTGGTGAGACCTCACTTGGAGTATTGTACACAGTACTGGAGACCGTATCTTCAGAAGGATATTGATACCTTAGAGAGGGTTCCGAGAAGGGCTACTAAACTGGTTCATGGATTGCGGGATAAAACTTACCAGGAAAGGTTAAAGGATCTTAACATGTATAGCTTGGAGGAAAGACTAGACAGGGGGGATATGATAGAAACATTTAAATATATAAAAGGAATCAACACAGTAAAGGAGGAGACTATATTTAAAAGAAGAAAAACTACCACAACAAGAGGACATAGTCTTAAATTAGAGGACAAAGGTTTAAAAATAATATCAGGAAGTATTACTTTACTGAGAGGGTAGTGGATGCATGGAATAGCCTTCCAGCTGAAGTGGTAGAGGTTAACATAGTAAAGGAGTTTAAGCATGCGTGGGATAGGCATAAGGCTATCCTAACCAGGGCCGGCCTTAGGCAATTAGGCGCTCTGTGCAAAAAGTCTTCACGGCGCCCCCCCCACCTCCCACCAAGTTGCCTGAATACAGTAACACACACAGGCACCGGGGACGTGTGTATCACGAGGCAAACAAGGCATCTGCCTTGGGCGCCACTTTGCAGGGCGCGGCAAAAAAAAGCATCCCTCCAAACCCCCAGGCAGATCCCTTGCTTGCCTCGCATCCTGGGGGGCTCAAGAGCTGACCGGCTGGCCACTTTTGAGCCCCCCCAAGGCTGGCAGTGGGCAGCGAAGGAGCATACTCACCTGAGCTCTTCCTGCTCAGCTTCCTCTGCGCCGCTTAATGAAGCCGGGAGCCAGAATATGATGTCAGTCCGGCTCACGGCATCACTAAGCGCTGCTTACTCAGCCTGTGCGCCCCCTGCCTGCCTGCCCAGCAGCCACACTGGACTGCTGGTAAGAAATCCACTCCAGCTTTCCCAGGGAGGCTGGGTGGATTTAAAATAAATGTAAAAAATATTAGTTTGTGAGTGTTAGTGGAAATGTCTGTGTGTGTGTCTGTGAGTGTTTATTTTGAAGTGAATGTGTGTGTGTGTGTGTGTGTGTGTCTGTAAGTGTGTAATTGTGTGTGTCTGTAAGTGAATGTGTGTGTGTTGGTCAGTGAGTGTATATGTGTCAGTCAGTGAGTGTGTATGTGTCAGTCAGTGAGTGTGTATGTGTCGTCAGTGAGTGTGTATGTGTCGTCAGTGAGTGTGTGTCGGTCAGTGAGTGTGTAAGTCAGTGAGTGTGTAAGTCAGTGAGTGTGTAAGTCAGTGAGTGTGTATGTGTCGGTCAGTGAGTGTGTGTCGGTCAGTGAGTGTGTGTCAGTCAGTGTGTATGTGTCGGTCAGTGGAGTCGTGCATCTTTCAGTGAGTGCTTGCGTCTGTCAGTGAGAGTGTGCATCTGTCAGTGTGTGTCCAAGTAATAGTGTATGTGTGTATGTCATTGTTTGTCAGTGTATATGAGAGTGTGTGTCTGTCAGTGAGTGTGCGTCTGTCAGTGAGTGAGCGTCTGTCAGTCAAAGTGCGGCCTTGACAGGAAGGGGTGGGGAAATTTAAACTCGGTTACAGGCATGTACACACACACTCAGTTAAAGGCAGTCACACATACAGGCACAGGCACAAACAATGGCACAGCTACAGCGACACACACACACAGACAGTCACATAGGCAGTCACACACACAGACAGACACACAGTAACACACACATAGACAGTTATACACACACAGGCAGGCAGTCACACAGATAGAAAGTCACACACACAGACAGGCAGTCACACACAGACAGATAGTTACAGACAGACACACACAGGCAGGCAGTCACATACAGGCAGTCACACACACAGGCAGTCACACACACAGACAGACAGTCACACACACAGACAGTCACACACACAGGCAGTCACACAGACAGACAGTCACACAGAGAGACAGTCACACACACACACAGAGACAGACAGTCACACACACACACACACACACACACACAAGGACAGGCAGTCACACACAGTCACACACACACACACACACACAGACAGTCACACGCACACAGGCAGGCAGTCACACAGACAGTCACACACACACACAGACAGTCACACAAACAGGCAAACAGTCACACACACACACTTACCTCTTTCCAGTGGATGCAGTTGGCTGATGGGGAAGCATCTTTCCCTCTTCCTGTACAGCAGGGGCTTCGGGAGGTATTAGCCCCGTCTCCGCCTCTCGATAAGCCCGCCTCCGCCGCTCGGTAAACCCCGCCCCCTCTGCCGCGATTTTTTTTTTTTTTTTTTAATAGACCCGGGTGGAGAATAATTAATCCTCCAGCCAGGTACCTCTTTTAGCTCCCCTGCACTCCGGCCATGAGTGAGCTGTGTCGGCCACAGGGCGCCCCCTGTTCCATGGCGCCCTGTGCGGTCGCACAGCTCGCACACCCCTGAGGCCGGCCCTGATCCTAACTATAAGATAAGGCTAGGGACTAATGAAAGTATTTAGAAAATTGGGCAGACTAGATGGGCCAAATGGTTTTTATCTGCTGTCACATTTTATGTTTCTATGTTTCTATGTTAAAATATTTATCTGAGTCACTGTATGAATTGCAGCAATCCAGATGTAAATAGAATCTTCCTAGTATTTAATCGCTTGAATAAAAAATTTATAAAAAAAAACAACATAGTGTAAAACCACACACAAATTACAAATAAAATAAGGGATAATATTGCACTCACAAACATAAAGTTCAAAAAGGCTCACCAGAAGGTGCAAAGGTCCTTCTACCATATGCAGCAGTGGTGTCCCAGTGCAGGTCACAGTCAGAGTCCTCCTTGGTGGATGGAGTATTACCAAAGGGTCAGCAGGATACTCGTTCTCCCCCATTTGAAATGACAGAGGTTCAGGATGCAGAATATCACCGAGCTTATATGCCGACCGGTTTCATCTCTAGGACCTTATCAAATTAAAGCTGAAGTGGTATATTAAGGACATAATCCCTGTTTAAGTTATTATGGTTCTGTGAACTTATAAAATGCTTAAAGGGACACTCCACTGCCCAAATAATATTTTTTTTAAATCACAGTTTAGCAGATATACTCCCAATAAAAACATGCATGCATTTTACTATGCATTTGTCCTCTTGGTGTATCTAAAACAGCTTTTAAAGGCTGTAGATCTCTTGTCTGCTGCCTTTGCAAGCCCTCTCCTTCTGACACAGCCTAGACGTTCTGTGTTTCTGTCTAATAGCAGACTTTTCAATGAAGCTCAATGAGAAGCCTTTGCAAGGCAGGTGCTCTGGGCCATTGCTGCCTCTTGAGTTTAGTTCCACTGAGCTAAATAAACCAGGAAATAACAGGACAGGTTGTAATTATTAAAAATATCATAATTCACAGGGGATGTGGGGATGCAATTGGCAGGGGATATGTGCCTACGAGACAAGCACACTGCAGTGGTTATGGTGCCAGAAGTCAAACAGGAACCTGTCGAACTATGTCAGAGCTGTTTGGTAGATACCAGGTTCTGTCTGGTGCCCACACTATTTCCTTTCTAAGAGGAAATGCTAAACCGGGAGTTCATACTTACAAATTATCATACCAACTCATATCAAGTTGGGATATTGTACAATGACTGAAAGCCATATACAGTTTGAAAGTTTACCAGTGGACGGTGCCAGGGAACTCCTGACACCATGAATGCAGTAGCAGTTATCCCTTAACATGCTCTGAATGGAAAGAAGAGGTCAGGGACAAAAATAATCTAGCACTGGGTCGCTCTGTCCCACTTCTGTGTCATTGTCTCCTGCACCATTGCTTCAATAATAAAGTTTAAATTTAGCCCTTAAACTCAGACATTTTAACCAATGTAAAGGTATACCTCTTGTAGCGAACCCCCTGGTAATCCGACCGGTTACCTCTGCTAATTCCCTTCCTTCAGTCATTCAGGAACCCTTTCAACAAGTAGGCATCCATTTTCCCCCCAGTAACTGGACGCCACACAGTTCTGGAGGTAAAGACACTGACAATGCTTTATTGGTACAGCTTTCTTTTTAGCAGAGACCCCAGCAGAAGGTCTCTTCAGTTCAATATAATCCTTTGTCCCAGGCAGGAGAAGGGGGATGGTTTACAGATAACCATCTCCTGCTCTGGGAGATACCAACTGGACACAGTTCCGTATATGGAAGAACAATTAGGGGCTCTACGCCCCGGAAAGGGAATGGGGTACACACATGAAACATACATCCCTGGATAGCCCCGGGGCCCAGCTAGGATCCCTGCAAATAGTGGGGCTATCAAATGTATGGAGCCCGAGAAACCATCATATAAAATCTTGGGTTCGAGGCTCTGTACATCCCCGAAGTTAGTTCCACAGCGTCGCTTGGTTTGGTCCGATGAATTCAAACTTTGCGCCCACACCAAGCAACAGCCAAACCAATTTGTGCCAATCAGCGATCAGGGAGGAGAGGGATTTCCCGCCCAATCAGGAGAGAGGGCGCGAAACCTATGTACAATAATCGGCGCTCGGAGAGGAGAGGGGTTTGCCGCCCAATCAGGAGAAAGGGCGCAAAATGAATGGGAGATCCTTATCCTATTTGTCGACACGGACTTCCAGGCAGCCAGCGGGAGCTCTGTGGCTGTGAAGACTGATGAATGTATCCTGTTGAACCATAAAGATTTCTGCAATACACAAAGCATGATTTGTGTCAGTATTTACATCCTTATTAAAATACTTTGTACATGCATACAGTATATACATGCTTGTTAAAATAACTATCAGTAAGTTGGGTTATAGATAAATTTGAGAACTGAAAGCTAAATGGACATTTCCTGGTTAAATACCTTGATATTAATTAATTATTGATTAAGCACTGTTTCGCCTTCTTGATTTGTTCAATGAGTTGCCTTTTTAGTTTGAGTTTATCCTTATTTGGGGATTCTGTAGTCGATAACCATGAACTAAATTCTAACTATATTCTAATTGTATGAAAGCATCAAACAGTCAATCGTAATTCAGCACTTATTTCAAATGGGCAGTTTTATTTCTCTCTCTCCTGCTTCTCGTTACAGCTGTACTCTAAAACGCTGGTCAGCATAATACAGAACAGGACAACACTATAACTATAACTTTTATGAGTGTTTATGAACTTGTCTTTTTTGTGCTGTATTCTATCAAATTAATTTACAGGAGGGCATTACTGACCGTATACGATTAAATAAGATGAAAAGCAGACAGAGCACTCAATGCATTTCAGCTCAGACAGCAATATCAGATGTAGCTATAAATTAAGGGATTGTGTGGCATTATCCAACATTAATGCAACTCTATGATTAAGAAATATGTTTTATGCTTTAAATCCCCGTTAACTCTATTTTTAGTAGTAGCACAGTATGCACAGAGCAGGCTATTAAACAGTGTGTGGAACTCAAAGGATTAAGCAAACTGTCACAGACGCTGAAAAACTGTACATGAAATGCTTGTTGACTGGTTCATTTTAGCTCTGTGGGCACTTATTCAGTGCTTATGCAGCAATGCTGTAAGTGGTTTTGCATATTAACTAAGTACAAAGTAACCTTCTTTTACCTCCTCCCAGACCCACCCAGCCGCAGGAATCATCGCTGCTCCTCAGTATGAGATGCACTGGGGAAGCGGGCAGGATGTTGCCATAGTAACTGTTCTGCTTTCAGAAGCTACTTTTCTGGAATGAAAGAAAAATGTGGCTAGGACCAGAGATGTCTGATTAAAGTCAAGATGACAAGGTTTATAGTCATTTAGTTGAGAAAAATAATATAATTCAATAATAATAACTATTTAAGCGCAGTGGCCATACTGTTTCATTATTACATTCACATACACTTCCAGTGTCACACATTTACACTATATGCAAGCAGTGTATATAGTGGACACGGCTAACACATCGTACAGAAAGCTAAATAGATCAAGCCTCCCGGGTGGCCAGTGTATAGAGGAGCTGATTGGATTTCACAGCTCAATTCAAAAGCATCCAGCCCTGCTGGCCCACACTTCCTACTTAGTATTTTACGGATGTACATATTTTCTCACATATACAGAGTGACTGATGAGAAAGTATGAACAGACTTTGATATCTATTTAAGGATATTAATGCAATATGACGGAGATATTTCAAATAGCGGCAGCACACACAAGGCTACATTACCCAAATAGCTGTATCTCTATCACAATGTTATTAGGCATGACTAATGTTGATGCGACAACTTTTCTAG